CCAGGTCAGCCAGGTCAACCAGGTCAGCCAGGTCAACCAGGTCAGCCAGGTCAACCAGGTCAGCCAGGTCAACCAGGTCAGCCAGGTCAACCAGGTCAACCAAGTCAGCCAGGTCAGCCAGGGCAGCCGGGACAGCCGGGACAACCGGGACAGTCAGGTCAGCCAGGACAATCTGGACTGTCAGGTCAATCTGGCGTATCCGGCCGAATTGGACCATTCGACGACTTTTCTCATCATCACAACCGCCTTCCGTTCCATCGTAGCTCGAAGTGTCCCTACCGATGGGCTACCGTTTCTTTCTTCCACCTTTCGTTTAACCCATGGGGTAATAATTTGATTGGCTACTTTTTACAACAACCCATCTTCAACACCAAACCGCTCTACTTCCTCGTTAATTGCGAGACATTGGATGTGATGTACACTCCATATCATTCGGAGAGCAGACGCGCTGTCGAACACTGGGGATACAGAAGTAGGGGCGTTGTCGGGCACATCTTTAGGGATCCTGTGTGCGGGGGTGCGCCTTTGTTCCGCTTGTATTCTGGGCAAAGGAAGCAACATGTTTATACCACCTCATGGGCTGAGAAAGTAAAGGCGATGAATTTGGGATATCGCGATGAGGGGGTATTGGGATTTATCTACGATTAAGGTCTCAAATGTGATATCATTACTTATTGTGTTGATTCGTTACTTCGTAATCGCCCTATCCTATTCATTATTGTGCGCATATCAAACAATGACCCCTTAGCTCAGTGGTAGAGTGTGTGATTCCAGCTTCTAGACTTCTATCTACTAGAGCTTCCACAAAGTCATCCGTTCAAATCGGGTAGGGGTCATTGTTCTTTTCTTTTAGATTAGACGGTCGGAAGGGTTACGACCTAACCAAGTAATCGTTGTCACACCGGTTCAGCCGCTTGGATGCTGATTTAATCACCACCCATTGATCATTGCTAGCGTCCATGGTAGATATGTATGCATTTCACGAGCTGATGACTGAATTGCTGAGGAAAAGGATGTAGATGAGCTAGACCCCATGACTTGAGATGGAGTTGGGTCGGACAAGGGTATCTGCTGGGACTGCGAAGTGGCTTTCATGAGGCCAAACCGGAGGCGGAGCTTCAATAGTCCTCCAAAATATCACACTTTCTTCTATCGGATGAAAAGATATCCAAAACTGATAATTAATTATATTCACGTCACCATATATGGACGAAGGAGTCTGAGACAATCAGATTTTGTAATTTTTGTAAACTCTCTGTTGATGCGTCACAAAGGCCGCTCTGAATTCTGCCATCTCTGTCATCCTACTTGCATGATTCCTAAGCAATTCAAATTGCTATTGAATGAGTAAAGGGTCTTCTTCATGTATACTTTTACTGTATCTCTTTTCGGGTGCCGGTAAGAAAGCGGATCGAGTCGTATCTAGTTGTAGAAAACTGATTTCACATCGTGACACATGACAGTAATTCCGTCTGACTTTGTTATAGTAATTTTCTGACAATAACCCGTGATGGACGTATGAGCTGCCGATTCTCATGGTTTTTCCGGTTCTAGCTCGGCGTTTCTTCGATAAGAACATCCATTATGTCTGCAGAACCAGAGACGCTCTCGGACTCGCGCTCTCCTCTACTGCCTAGAAAACCTAGAAAAAGAACTTCTGCGTCACTGTTTGGAACACTTGATGAAGGCCACAGTCAAGTCTATTCAGATGAAGGCCAGCAGTATAGCCCGGAGACTGTCGTGGGCAGGAAACTCATCTATCTACTCTACATTTCTCATTTTTTATCGACCTGGAACTCTCGACTATTCGAGTTTGGTGCCATCTTATTCGTAACATCGATTTATGCTGGAACACTTTTGCCAACGTCGGCCTATGCCTTGATACGTACTGCAGCTGCCATCCTTCTCTCTCCTACGATTGGGAAGTACATCGATAGTGGGAATCGATTGCGGGTAGTAAGACTGTCCATTGGTAAGTATATCCACCTGAAGCATCTCATGATGTAGTAATGATTGCTTTCGGGCCCTATCAGTCATGCAACGGTGTGCCGTTGCAGTATCTTGCGTCGGATTTTGGGTTTTGGAAAATCGCATAGTTGTTTTCTCAGGATCAAGAATTACGGTCCTGGGTATCATAACCCTTCTAGCCTGCGTGGAAAAACTTGGCTCGGTTATGAACACGGTGGCTGTTGAACGAGATTGGGCAAGTAGACTTTCTGTACTGCAAAGTAGCTGGGTGTGTTTTAATACTACATTTTAGGTCCTCGTTGTAGCAGACAGTACACACTTTGACCTGAAAGGTTTTCAACTTCCACTGAATACTGAAATATTGACTTATGATCTATTCTAGTCCTGAACTCGCAGATGCGCCGCATCGATCTCTTTTGTAAACTTATGGGTCCGCTTACAATTGCCTTAATCGACGGCATCTCGACACAAGTGGCTATAATAACCTGTCTGACATTAAGCGTCGTGTCGGTTGGAATCGAGTACTGGGGAATTGCTAGAGTTCGTTTTTGAGTGAAGCAAGATGTTTCTTTTTCCCTGACGGCGAATATTTGATCCAGGTATACTACAACATTTCAGCTTTACAAAGCGATCCACGGTCGTCTAGCACTATAGCAGATTCTCCCAGTGCCGAGCAGACAACTTCAAGCTCTCTCAGCTTCTATTACCACCATCCAGCATTTGCGCCCTCATTCTCACTCTCTATCCTATATTTCACCGTTCTTTCATTTGCCGGACAAATGGTGGCCTATCTGCTTACAGTTGGTTACGATTCTCCTCGCATAGGCACCATTCGGACACTTTCTGTCTTGTTTGAAATGTCTGCAACGTGGATAGCGCCGAAGGTTATGGCGAAAATTGGGCCATTGCGGGCAGCGATGTGGTTCGTCAACTGGCAGATTGTATGTCTGGTGATAGGAACGTCATTGTTCTGGCATGCCACAAAGCCCGTAGTGGGTGCATTATTCTTAATCTGCGCAGTTGTTGCGAGTAGAGTTGGTCTCTGGGGATTCGATCTTAGTGTGCAGATCATTATACAAGAAGTGAGTGGAGTAGCCAAGATAGAAAACTCTTCTAATCCCAATTCTATATCTATAGGAAGTCGAGTCTAACTATCGTGGTACTTTCTCCTCGATCGAAGCTTCCTTTCAGAATGTCTTCGAACTGGGATCATATGCCATGACGATAGTATTCGCTAGACCAGACCAGTTTCGATATCCTGTACTGATGAGCACCGTGGCTGTGCTTATCGCGGGCATTATGTATGCACAATTCTTGAGGAAGAGGAGGGGACATTTGCTGCATATGCCGAGTTGCATGAAGTAACGGATGCATATATTATCAGCCATGCCCGTAGTAGTCGCGCACGGAAAGTGTAATGTGGTCTGACATCTGTCCTACCTAAATGTAAGTCTCTCAGGCGTCAGAAGTCATCAGAACTCGACCCTGCGAGATGTGGATGGACTTTGTGTCAGTCAAGTCAGTCAAGGAGAAATCAGCCACGAGGGCATAAGGCATGTCTGTGACCACGCCTTGGTGAACACGGTCACGTGCATATCACGTGAAGGTTTGACTCCATCTTTCAAGTGAAGGTCTGTCGGCTTCCACTCCTTCCGTCATGTTGAGCTCTCGCCCAGTGGCGTTGGCCATGGACTCCCATGTCTATCCCTCTAAAACTCCAGGGCGCATGAAAGCAAAGGTCGAGAATGCAGTGTCTATGACGGTTCACGCCAAGGGAAAGAAGATTTTGATACAGACTCCTTTCAATGGGGGAAAGCAAGGTAGATCACCTCACGAGATGCACTTCTTCTCCGTATCCACAATTACTTCAGCAAATCAGAAAGTTCCAATGACAGTGCAAGTACAAGGGAAACAGAAACAGACTGCATCTCGAACGACTCTGGGAGACAAAACGCCATTTCCAAATCGGTCGAATATACAGAAACTTGAAACCCCCGTTTCTCAACTGCTGAAACTTCCAGTTCTGTCGCCTTTGGTGTCTAGATCACAGCTTCAGCTTGACAAGACTCCAGAATCGTTGCGTAGGCCAAGCTCAGCGAGGACACAGGATCGAGTGCTCCGCAATGCCAACAAGCTGTTTGTGACGCCCAACAATAAAGGAAACCACTGGGATGTTAGCGAACTTTGCATAACCCCCCCTGAAGTGGAAACTCTGGAGCCACAGGCTCCCGAGGATGACTACGACGAGATCGAGTATATGGCCCCCAATACGTTGCGTGCGTCCAGTTCTTTGGGAAGGCTTAGATCACTGTTTTCTTGATGTTCTTCCTCATAGATCTTGCCTATGAGCCCCCGCTGGATATTGAACTGCCGGACTATACAAAAATGGGTAAAGCGTTATTCGAGCTTTCTCATACTTGCATGATTGACGAGACTCCTGTCGCGGAAATTGTGATTGATGAAAAGGACCTTCAACTACCTGGCTGGGATCTACTGTCTCTGCCAGAACTCGGTTCGTATTCTCGATGTCGCGAGGTCCAATCTATTGATGGAATCACCTAATAGAAAGTGATGATCCTTTCCAACAAAGCAAAGAACCTAAATCAACGACTGCCACCCGGACCAAAACTACTCTTCCGCCTGAGCAAATAGTCCCGCGAACAATCGTCAGACCCCCAGCACAGACTCTTCGTTCTAAATCCATTGCATCACCTTCAGCGTCTACCTTGCCAAAGAAGGATTTGTCGTCTTCACGTGCTACATCCCGAGGAGCTTCCATCAAGAGCTCAGTGCCAAGCACTTCTCGTACCATCCCCAAACCTACTCCACCAGCGGCCGACAAAGTCAAAGTCACTACCGCCTCTCGGCTAGCTAGGCCGGCATCTAAATCGACTCAGAGTGTAGCCAAGCCCGTCGCTACTCGCAGTCGTCCTACAAGTACTTCATCAACGATTCCGCGGCGTCCAGCGATCTCTACGTCACATTCTACGACCTTTCCTGAGACTCGTCGGGTTACCCCTTCCGTTGGTGCGAGGAGGCACGAAGTGGACGTGATTCCTCTGGTTTTTGAAACAGGCGACGACTTGTATGAAGATTTTAGGTTCGATATATGAGCTATGGAATGAATTTTGTAATAAATATCGTATCGATTTGTATCTTTACAATTATGCAGGTGTTCAGCCTTTTATTGGTCACACTGGAGGTCGCGGGAGAATTGCCTCGGGAGAAAATTGAACTCTCATCTCAATTTCCCCTTGTCCGATGCCGGTACTTGACAAGGCCCTAGCTCGTTTTACCGGGTCCTCACCAAAGTCGTCCAAGAAAGCCGGGGAGTGTCCCTCTGACTCTGAATACAGTTGCGAACCGCGAACACTCTGAGCGTCAGATCTGGCCGCAAAATCAATCCTTGTAGCCGTACGTGTCCCACCCTCGTCATTCATTGAATGGCGCAAGGCAGAGTGTTTGGCTTCCCATTTGCGAATGTGTAGCAGAAAGCGCGCGGTCATGAATCCGGAAAGCCTGGACCTCTGCTTGTCAGATAAACGTTGCAAAGCGTGAGCTTGGTCGACATGATTACGAACGGGACTGTGTAGGCGTTTAGCAGGCGTTGAAGAAAGCCTCCCTGCATCAAAGTATAAAGTGTCACATGAGATGATAGAAGTGTGAAGCCAGGCACTTGCAGGAATTGCCTGGAAATACTGAGATGATATTCAAAACGCGGAGAATAAAACTGACGTACTACATTGAGAGCCAGCGAAGCAATTGTGAGCGCAGTAACCACACTATTATGGAAAAGCAGTTTTCTCTTAAAGAAGGCGCGGAGATAGGTCGCGTTTTCTGCCTCACCAGAAGTATAAAATTCCTGATG